ATTTTGTGTGTACATAGAATTCTCAATATCATTGTGACATTTGCAGTTTTGATGCTTGTTCTAGCCATTGCAAACCTGGTAAAGTATGCGAACCTACAAGTCGCTGCCGGAGACGTCATCCTCTTCGTTATGCACAAACCCCTGCAATGTGGATGTGTGATGAATGTAGAAAAATTTGTTATGGTAGACGTTTACGATGTAATCAATGTGACTATGAAATGTGTCCAACATGTTTGTCAAATGAGGATCTTGCTTATTTGATGGCAAGTTTACTACTCACTAGATAAATAGATGAATAATCGATTTTAAACATTTATATATTTTTTTATTTTATTTTATCACATACATTTTTATCTATCATTCACATTGTTATAATTTGCATTATTTCAAACTCGGCATTGTTTTTTTTTATTTTATTCATAAACATTATTGTTATTACCGTTAAATAGTTAAAGAAACTTTAAGGACTATATAAATGTGAAATAACTGAAAACACTGAGCTTGTAGCAATGATAATTAAATTTATCAATAAAAATTCATGTTTTTTTCACGGCATTATATAATTTAGTATAGCAGTTTAAGTAATCTACTACTAATTCAAGTTATTTTCTTAAAATTTCAGTGGTTGTTATTTGCCTTGGTGTTTTATTTTTAGAGTTTTTATATTGGCAAAGGTTTCTGCTTCATTTTAATCTCTAAAATCATATGTCATTGGACAAAAGAATCCATTTAAAATTATTGCATAAAGAGATAAGAGACTTATAAACTGCGCCGATTTTTAATTTATACTTTTTAACTGTTATCGCTCAAGAATTTTTCATTTGTCAGTACTAGAGATGTACCTCTGCATTACATAATGCAACATTATGTCATATGATGCATTATGAAACAATGTATTGTATCTCTGTGCATATAATTATATGTGCATCTAAAGATGTTAAGTAGCTAGGATTTGGGGTGCTGTCAGTCAAACGTCCCATAGTGAGATTATTCAGTGCATGTCTAATTGTAACAATCGAAATATGGTATTATTAATAAACTTAGATTTAAAATTTGGCTATACGCTGTTATGATTAACATGTTACAATTATGATTTTTATCATTTTGTGTTACAATATTAATAATCTCACTATGGGACGTTTTGACTGACAGCACCCCATATTGGCTCAGTTTGGAACTTAAATCATTATCGTTATTGCCAAAATTAAAATCAGTTAACTAGTTAGTTTATCACGTTGTTAGCA